GACTTCAACATGGCTGGCTGGGGAATTCTGGGAGTTGAAGTCCACCCATCTTAAAGTTGCTCAGGTTGAGAAACACCGCTCTAAAGGACTGCACCATGAGCCCCTTCGGGAGGGCGTGAGGAAGCCCTTGGCACGAGCTTCTCCTCTCCTCACCTGCTCATTCGCGACATACCAGCCTTGGGAAAGAAACTCCCTGCTGCTCGCCTTCCCTCCCAAAGTGGCGTTTGGGAGTAAGCGTGGCGGTCTCATGGTCGCCCCACTTCGCCCCGCTTCTCCGCGGTCTTCAGCTGCGCGCCTCCGAAAGCCAGAACGCGCCCCCGGCGATGCTGGGAGCTGGAGAAACCGGTTTCCAGCCCGCCTGAAAACCCTTCCTGGGGCCGGGCTGTTGGGCGATGGGAAGGGCTCTCGTCTTCCTTGGCCGGATGTTTACAAAGCAGGTGTTTGTACTGGGGTGGGGCTGACCCCAAAGGAGTCCGGGACTGGAAGGGGCGTGATTTGTTGCCTTTTTAAAAGGTGAATCGGGAAGAAAGCGAGTTGCCGGCCAAACGAGGCAAGGCGCTTTGCTGCCGCAGAAGCTGTTTGCTTTGGCGGCTGAACTTTGCTAATCTTGTCTTCGAGTAGCCGCATAGAATTTAACTCTCTGACTTCTGATAAGTAAGTGCCGCGCAAGGCGTCTCCTAGAAGAGCCACGCCAGGAAGGCCCCTGGTTTGAAAGCAAACGGCTGAGGCAACGGAGTGGTTGGTTTCAGACGGCCCTAGGAATGCGTGGGGCCGAGGGGTTGTATGCTTTCTGCCGGAGCCCTTTAAAAGGCGAGCAAGGCTGGAAAAGGAGGGCACCCCCCCCCCACAAGTCAGTTCTAGGTCTGTGGCTTTGTAGCTCACACCAAGATAAATTCAACAGTTTCAATTCAGCATAGTCTCAAACTTTAATGGATGGAGTTAAGGGTTAACACACACACATCAAATTAAGGCTACATCAACATGGAGACATGCTTGTCCCGCCAGCCACTGTCCCTGGATAGCGTGCTTGTATGCCTCTATGCCTCTACCCTAAGATCAGTCCCTGGTTGAGGTACTCCAACGGCAGCTTTATGTGGTCTGCTCCTCCACCTGACCTTTGTGCTGGAGCGAGTTGTGAGACGTGGTCAACGTGTAATGTGTAGGTTGGGCATGGGGTGGTAGGCAAATGTGACTTACATCTTATATGGGATCTACAGATCTGCTCTGACCCTTTCCTACGGCATCCCAGCACTGCCCCAGCCGCCCTTTCAGGATTTGTCAGTGTTCGGATGGGGCTGTGGAATGGCGTCCCCTGGTTGCTTACTCCTCCCTTTTGGGAATTTTTGGGTTGACTGAATGATGGGGTCATGTGAGCACAGCAGAACCTCACATTTATCTCCGCAGTTCATTCATTTCAGCAATGCCAATCGTTCCTCTCTGTTAGTCCAACAACACAGTGCCAACTCTGCCCCACAACTGCTTCTCAACATGTGTGGTATGTGCTGAATTGTGGAGCCATTGGGGATACTTTGGGGGTGGTGTGTGCTGTTCCTCCATTTTGGCCTGTGAGGATGCCATTATGAGGGATTTCCCCCACAGTGGCATTGCATGGGGAGCCAGGAACCACCTGGAAGGAAGTTCAGGGAAATCTGGATTCTGGAAGTGACAGCGACATTGTGCTGGCAGAGGAGAGCAACCTCTAGCACATAGGACACAGCATCGCATGGTACAATCCCATTCAGGAAGCTTTGTTGGAGTCCACTGAGGAATCTGCACAGGGTGATGTATGTACATAAAGAGGGTCTGGCACAGTTTGCAACCCCTGTTTTCAGATAGCAAGGACGTTTGCCTTTCCTTACAGTCATTGGGTCAATGGCACAACACCCTCCCACCCTCCCCCCGACTCTGCAAGTCACCAGCATGATGAAAATGTAGGGGGGAAAATTAAAAAGTGATCATTGTGTCAGTGAGTGGTGACATCACACGTGGCCACTGACATTTTAGGGTGTGGGAATGCAATAGCCAATCATGTCTCCTGGTGCAGTGCACGGCATAGCTATGAAGAGAAGAGAAGAGAATTCCAGCATTCCTGCTCTGTCTGGCTCTGGCAGAGGATGCCAGCTGTGTGGATTTGGCCTAAGCCATCATGTGGTTTGCTTGGTTTTGTCTTAGCATGCTGTGTTGAACACAGTTATAAAAGGTCGGGCAAGTTGTTCAAACCCAGCCAACTATTCATGAAACCATGATTAAATCATGCCTTGGTGTAATCCAATCCAAGAACGCATGATATGGTAAGAATCACTGCAGAGACATGGTGGTCCCTGAATGGCTGCATATGGGATTTCTTCAGACACGTTGTCCATTGGCCCGTGGTCAAGGTTGATAGGAGCAGATGCTTAATAAATAGTCGTGGGCCTGCAGACTGGAAGGGGTAGTTCTGTCATTAGGACACTAGCTATAATTAGGAAACTAGGATTTGTTTGAGAAAAAAATGCCAGTAACATTTAGAAAAGAATGACCATTTCTTTGGGCCTGGTGCTTTAATATTGCCCTCCTCCCATGGCTACAAAGCAGCTGCCGTTTGCTTACATTGGGGCACAAGGAGACCATATTGTCAGGCAAAACTCTTTGATTGAATAATGAGATTGGCAGCCAATCTTTGCTCTCCTCCAGGGTTGGTTATTTATTACTGGGCAACAGTCCCAGAAACACAGGCCATCCAGCCATAATAATAGCAGCAGTCTCTTCTAATGCATCTCAGCTCGTTGACTGTGAGAAAAAACTCAAGGCTCCTTTGGCAGGGAGCACTTGTATTACTACTGAGAAATATTTATACCCATAATTAGAAGGGGAAGTGTGAGGAACGAGAGCAAATGCAAGGAAATGCATTGAATGTGGTGGGGTTTAAGCATTTGAGCTGTGCACGGGATAGCAAGGTCTTTCTCCTCTGAACACTTGAACGCATGTAAATAATGCAAAAGAATTGTGATGGCAGGGAGCAGAATGGGAACCGTGGTAAATCCTAAAAGAAATTTGAATAGGTTTTTTTAACAGGTGAAAGATGATTCAAAGCAAACCAAAAAAAAGGATTCGTTTAGACTGCGTCAGTATTGATCAACTCGAAATACCTGTTAGATCAGATTCTTCATGATTCGTATTGTGCTACTGCTGCAGAGGTTACAAGCAGGAACACTTTGCACACAAGTATCGTAGCTATTTGCTGTCTAAACTTGTGTAAAGCTGTGTTAAATTGCAAACTAATGCAGACAACCTCATTTGTAAATGGAATATCTTTTGCATTACCTTACCAAAGGGTTTACAATCAATAAATGAGAAGAGACAGCAAAAATCAACCATAGTATCACAACAGCCATTTCTTTCCATGTTTGTGTTATCTGCATTGGTCCGATATACTTGAAAACATTTTCTCCTGATGTCTTAAATGATGAAGCTATGGTGACAGAGATTAGGGTTGGTAATAAAATGAGGAAATTACAGTTCCGCATTATATAATTATAGTTCTTATACATTCTGAATAATGCAAAGCAATGAAACATCAAGTGATTAAAACTGCAATCTTGTATATATTTATCTGGGAGACACCCCCGTCAAATTCATTGGGGTACATAAAATTCTCGTGGGTAAAGCTGCAGATCTGTGCAGAGGTGCATGGAGGTAACCTCCTGCTGAACTGTGGGTTTTTTTCCCCCCAATAGGCATGCAATCTCTTTTTTCAAATGTGTATGTTACCTGTGAAGCTGAACAGTTATTATGTGGGTTTTATTATTCCTAGAGTAGACTACAGCATCCAAAGTATACACCATGCATACTTCTTCACTTAAGAGCTCGCCAAACATAGCTATGTAAAGTGAGCAGCCTGTTTACAATAAACCACTGTACTAGTAGGGACTCTCTGCTATCAAATTAGAGAGAAATCAGTATTATAGTAAACAGAGGTCAAAGATCAAACCCACAATTTCATATAAAATTCCAGTCCATGTACACAAAATATTACAATTTTTAAAAAGTCCAAGTCACAAGACCATCAACTACTCTTAAAGATAATCAAAAGCAGGGTAAGAGTAAAGGAAGTGAAATTTAAATGTAATTTTAATCCAGAATTTAATGCAAGGAACAATCATATAATGGACCTCTTTTAAATCTTGACAGCTCACTGTCAAACAAGCTCTTTTGTTAAACGGCTAACTCTCTTCTTATTCAAACAATGTCTTTAAAATGTCAGTTGTGATAATATTAACATATCCCCAGACTTTTGATCTCCTTGTCTGATGATGTGAAATTGGCTTTGTTTGTTTGTATGTATGTATGTATGTGTGGGGAGAGCTACCCATTACATATAAGCTGTAATATTCTGTTTGGTCTTTTTCATCTATGAAAAATCAAGGGCTAAGCGAGCTGAAACTGCAACGCCACTGTCATTTTGCCTTTGCTATACTGTATGTCGTACGACAAGTAGGGGAATACAAATTATGATTCTTATGTACCAAGCATTTCTTTGAACACTGAAAACTAGATGTCAGAGAAAAGATTAGGCTTAAAGGAAGATTTTTCACATCTATTTCTCAATGTGGTAGACATGTTTATTAGTAAAGAAATTCTGGGACTTTGATCAGATCTGAGATAATGCCAGTCCCAAACTCAGCCTTTACGTGTAGCTGGTTCCATGGGCATCTGCAGGGGGAGCAAGAGACATCCCATACATCATGACATCATCAGGCAAATTATATATTGTATGTCATTATGATGCACCTGGGACAAATTACATAGTTTATGACAGGACATCATCATGGTTACTTCTGTACACCTCTTGTTCATACATAACATGAAGGCTTAATGTGATTTGTTTGTGTTGGACTTAGCATTATGTTCAAATCCATTATATGGCTTAGGGTTATGAGTTCACTGGGCAATAATTATTTGCTGAACAAACTATGATTTAAAAAACCTGGAACAGCATTATGTGTGAATGGAGTCACTGATTCCTGAATTATGTTAAGTATATCTGTTTAATAACCATCTCTGGCAGATTTGAAACTTGTTTAATACAGTTTGGTGCAATTTTATTACCAGGAACAGCTCTGATTCATTTTAAACATATTTAAACATTTTAACTCTGATTCAGTTTAAACATTTTAAACATATTAAACAATATGCTCTAAACCATGGCATGTTAAGAAAAACTCCATTTGAACAGACCTCCCTCATCATTTGTATGTTGTTACAAATTCGGCCAAGTGTGTATGGGACCCAGGACAATCTTTCTAAGTCGTAGAATCACAGGATATAAACATTGGAAGGGGTCTGGGAGATCATCTAGCCCAACCCTCTGCCCAGAGCAGGACCACTATTACAACAGCCGCAAGAGATCGTTTAAAGACCTTCAGCAAGGGGGATTCACCACTTCCTCCTGAGGCAGACTGTTCCATGATTGAACTGCTGTTGGGAAATTTATCCTGATGTCCAATCAAAGACTATTTGCTTGTAATTGAAACCCTTTTTGATTTCTGGAACCACTCTGAAAATTCTGCGCCATCTTCTCCATGGCAACTCCTCAGGTACTTGGACGTGCTATCATGTCTCCCCGCAGTTTTCTTCAGGCTAAATATACCCAAAGCCTCAAACCATTGCTTACAAGGTTTCCCTTCCAGGCCCCTTACCTTCCTGGTTGTTCTTCTCTGGACACGCTCTAGTTTGCTAATCTTCTTCCTAAAATACAGTGCCCAGAACTGGACACAATACTCTAGGTGTGGTTTGAATAATGCAGTACAGGGAGGAATGGTGATGTTTATTGATCTTGACTGCAGCTGCAAAGAAAAAAAGTGGATGTAGTGCTTGGCTGCATTACATTGTTGGCTCATGTTCAACTTGCGATGCACTCACATTCTGTTTGCACATCCAGTAAGGTTCCATCCCACATCTGCTGCCTTTTTCCTACCCAAAAGTAGCATCTTGCATTTGTCGCTGTTGAAATCCATCTTGCCGGTTTCTACCAATGTTCCAGCTTGTCAAGATTCTCCTGACCCTTGATGCTGTCTTCTAAAGTCTTTGCCATCTCCCGATGTTTCTGTCATCTGCACATTTGATAATCATATTTTCTAACCCCACATCCAAGTCATTTTTAAATATGTTGAACATAAGCCTTGCATAACAAATTCTTCTTAACTTTGTTACTTGTTAGTCATTTTATCATTTTTATTTGCATGTTCCCATGAAAGTTCTGTGGACAAATACAGTGTTTGTTTTTTATACAAATCATATGAGTCTGCTTCAGTGGTAATCTGAAATGATACAGTTTGGCCACAGGTTTGGAAGGACTGGCATTCAGCTCCAGATAATTTGACATCCTTGTTCTGTGCAGTAATCCCTGTATTTCCTTTCAGAAAAATGCATCCATCGTATTTTGTGTACCTTGACCTTCAGTACCAACCAATGCAACCAATGGCATTTTTATAAAGTGAATTTTTATAGATCATGGCAAGGGATGGTCGTGATCATAGCTGAAGCATCTTAGCAACACTTAGCAACTCATTGTAGAGATGTACAGGAGTGCACAAACTTGGTATGGCTATATCCTATGCTCTTTAACCCAATCTTTGAAAATAACATACACTGTGCATGTGATATTCAGTAGCTTTTGGGGTAGCTCGTCATGTGAACTAAGTTATAGAACTCACATTCAGCTACACCAATAGTGTTCAAGTTTCTGTAGGACATTTTCCTACCCTGATCAATTTATCAAATGTATATTGACCATCTATTTGATGATGATAGGGTGTGTTTGAAAGAGAACATGGTTAGACCTGAACCTCATATTATGATGCTAGACTTCTGATGACTTCATGAAAACGTCTATGGAGTTCTCTGGACACAACTCAGAAATAGTTTGCCATTGTCGTCTTCTGGGAAGCTTTTTTCAATTTCTCCATCTATCTTACAATTATGGCATTTCCTGGTGGTCTTCCATCTAAGTAACAAGGGCTAACCTTTGAGTTCAGAGATTTGGCTAGGTGCTGCCATCTAGTGGTTATGTATGCTAAGAGAGTGAATTGAAATGATGAGACAATTCTGCATGTGCATCTTGAAAAAGGTAGAGTGATAGACAAGCTATTTTCAGGGAATCTATTTTTCAACTGTAATCTGTTCAACAAAGTATTCTAAATTTTATTTAGCTGTTTAAAATTAAAAATACATGCGAGGTTGACTAAATTGTACTTACAGTAGTAAGAGACAAAGACTCAGAGCTGAAAGAGGTCTTAAAGATCAACCTGCTGCTTAGGACAGGGTCCACTAGAGCAGTGTTTCTCAACTTGGCAACTTTAAGATGCTGGCCAGGGGAATTCTTAGTCAACCTTGCGTGTATTTTGAATTTAAAAAAAAACACTAAATAATAGATGCTGGGGTAAAGAATAGGGGCCTTGGAAATCTTGGAATGTCCCATACGTTATAGCAGATCTAGTTCCCCAGTGCTAGTTGATGCCCGCTTACACTCCATGACTAAAATCATAAGGGTTGACAGTGCGATCTAAACTAATAGCAGTAATCGCTCTTAGGGATCTCCCTTTGAGGTACGCTTTTGGAAGTGGGCAAGGGCAGCCAGTTCCCTTCCCCACTGCTGCTGTCCTCCCCCACAGACAGGATTGCCTCCATCTCAAATTAATTTCAGCTTGGATGGTGCTATTGCACTCTCTTTTCCTTTTTAAATGAGGAATGAGATAAAGAAGTTGAATCCAATGAATTCAGAACCTGCACACTTAAGAGGTTTTTCAGACCAAACCCTTTGCAGATCAACCACGAAAGATCAGAAAATAATGCAAATGTGCAGATTATCTATACAGCACCTTACTGAGACAAGAAACCTCCCCAAACCTATTTTACTTCACCAGATTAGTTGGGTAATATACACGCACGTTTCTAATTAGAGCTCTGGCTTTTTGCAGTTATAATTCGAAGGACAAATAGGTTTGCTCCTTGGTGTGATCCTCTGCCATTGTTATTCCAGCCTGCTAAGACTCCTAGACAGGGTCTGCATCTCCCACTGCAGACATCCAATCTGCAAAACACATCTCCCTAAGCATAATCCTTGCATGCAGAATACTGGGATGCTAAAAATAGCTTAGTTTTTGCAGAAGAATTGAGAAGGCATTCAGAAAGCCAGATGGCAGGCATGCAAATATAAGCCATATTATCTACCCTGGTGGTTTTCAAACAAACTTCCCTCAGGGACCTTTCCTGCACTGATTTTTTTTCGCCTTTACTAAGCCACCACCCTTACATTTGCCACTGAATTCCTGTGTGTTGTGGGGATTCTCAGATGTCTTCTAGAATGAATCTCAATTTGCACAGTGCAAAGAATAGCCATGTTGTGTCCATCTCTTTGAAACAAAACTTGCAACTGGGTTTTACAATAAAACTGGGGTGGGAGAAAAGCTGGGCTGGGGTGGGAGAAAAGCTAGGTGTGACACCAGGATAGTATTCAAGAGAATAGCATACTGTTTGCCAGGCCAGAAGTCAAGGGAAGAAAATAAAACAGAATGAAGTTCTCCTTAGCAAAAGGGTTTTAGAAAGGATTACATTCACCAGTTCAACAGTCCCTCCCACCAGCATGTTGCAATAGTCAAGCTGGGATGTAAGGAGGGTACGTATGTAATTGTTGTCAATGATCACAGTGGATACACATGTTGTTAATTGTGCAAATCCCAACTAGCTGAGATCAGGGCCAGTTTAAGAATTTGGGGCCCAAACCAACAGAAGGTTTGGAAGACACCTCATCTCGCCCCCACCATCACGCTCAGCTCTAGAGTAACATCACAGATGGATTCCAGCCAAACAAGAGGTTAAAACTATGGATTCAAAATGGAATACCCACAGTCCGAACTAAAAATTAAAGATGTAGCTGGAAGAAACATATTGGAGATAAATTCTTAAAACTTATTAAAAAAAAACATTTTTTTCCTTCTTTAGAGAGAGAGGTTTCCTTTGTAGAAAGAAAATAGTTTATTTCTGAAATTGTTTTCCTTGCTTTCTGTTTTCTACAGTTCTGTAAAACTGTTGTCACAACTGCCTCTAATCTTCTCTTTTACAAAGCAGAACAACAACATCCGCTACCATGAGAGAGTCCTCCTGCTTCGAAAGCAGTATCTTAGAGACCGCCTTCCTACCCTCCATTTCCTGTCCTTTCATCAGTGAGGACCTGTCTTCTTAATCCACGACTGCTCAACTTTCACAAGAGTCTTTGGTGAAGAAGCTTTTGGAAAGGCCAAATGTTTGGTGTCCTCTCCATCCCTCTCTCTACACGCCTGTACATGCTGTCAGGCATGGCAGTTGCTGAGCATCTTGGGAATTGAAGTTGGAGTGCACATCTGGAAGTCACCAAGGTTGGGAAATATTGAAATAAAAGGTTGTTTTCTAAAGGGAGACACCACCTGAATGGAAACACACTTTGCTTAATTCAAAAGGACACATGCAGAGCACAAACACACACATACCCCACACAAGGTTTTGGTTAAAAATGTTACTGAAGCATTTTCGAAAATGATCAGTATATAAAATATATTTTCCAGAAATGTCATGTGAAATTTGCCTGCTTTCATTGGGGAGGCCAATTTTTTCCTATTATGAATTTGATTCTATGTTTAGAATCTACGGGACATTCCTTATCATATTTATTATGTTTTCAACATATTCTAGCAATTTGAAAGTTGAAAGGTCAGTGCCTTGTCATCAGGAACTGATCTTTCTTTTTGAAAATAACATTTTTGCTATGTGTATTAAAGGTTATTTTATATACAGTATTTAGAGATTGTCTTCTGTTTCTTTTCCTGCAGGGATCAACATGATGGAAAGAAAAAAGAGCACCCCAAATTGAAATCAAGTGGTACTAAACAAGGAAGTTGATTATAGATGGAAGAGATTTATGGGGATTTCAATCAGGGAGGCTTATGGGCGTAACACATGAAGACGACTTGACTTGGTGGTTGTGGATAATCTTGTTCCATGTCCAGTTTTCACACATATGGAATAAATGGAATCCACCCGTATTCAAAGCCCCCAAGGCTTTCTTCTGCTTTGTAATTTACTCTTACAAGATTTTTGTTTCTAAGGGACTGTAATCCCACCGCATATGTACGACATGGTGGGGGTTAGGCAATGCCACTTTCTAGCTGATTGAAAATAGTTGGGCTGTCTGAGCTGCATGGAGAAGTACTGTACATGATGAATCCACATAAATCCAGCTCAAAAGTTTTGGCTCCATAAAAGAGGCAAAGCTGGGTGAACCCAAGAATTCTTTATTTGATCATCATAAAGTCACTATTACAAAGTATAGTATAAAATATAGTTATTAAAGACAGTATTTTCCTCCCCAAAGAGTGATGAAAGTTGCTATCTATACAGTGGGTAGAGATTCAACCAAGTCTTTAAGATCAGTTGATGTGTTATACAGGAATCTGTCTCAAAATTCCTTATTTATTTGCATTAAACTTTTAAAGCGGTGATTGTAGAATCCCCCTATCAGCCTTTTTCACCTTGGTTGGGAACTGTATTCCAAATCAAACTGGGGGGAAGCTCTTTACATGAGAAGGGAGAGGAAGGAAGTTATTGTTTTTATTTATTTATTTATTAGGTCTCTATAGCCGCCCATCTCAACAGGTGACTCTGGGCGGTGTTGTTTGCATAATTGTTTTATTATGCAGCTTTCTTCTACTCCCAACACTAGTACTGGAAATGGAAACCAAGCTGGATATGAACATTGTTTAAAGCAGAGCTGGGCCATCTTTTGGTGGCCAGATGCCATGTTTCACGTTTGGGGAAAGTCTAAGGGCCATATTGGGTTGTGTGGTGATATGAAATGGGCAGGGCCATGTCAGAATTATCATAATTTTTTTTAATGATTTTCTGGGAGGAGGATTTAAAACCAAAATGAAAGCTATTTTGGGGCTTTCATTAGTTCTTTCTACATGCCTTGTTCTTCTGCAAAGTGCCGTAGATCAGTTCTGAGACAGGAGGAGCAAGTGTGCAGTAGCAACCACAGTGGTAGTTCCTGAAACCCTCTTGGTTGAAGAATCTTGATTGGCACAACGATTGATTCATGTGGCTATAATGCTGCTCTAGTAATTACTCCTCTGAATTGCTTAGAAAAATGCTTCTGTTAAATCAAGGGACTGCAACTTTTGGATGACAGAGGGGAAAGGATTCCACACATGTGGAGTCCTTGGGGTTCTCTGAGCTTGGTTGTTTTCTTGCAAACGTTTCGTTACCCAGCTAGGTAGCATCTTCGGTGCTGAAGTGCACTGTGCACCGGAGATGCTACCTAGCTGGGTAACGAAACGTTTGCCAGAAAACAAACAAGCTCAGAGAACCCCAAGGACTCCACATGTGTGGAATCCTTTCCCCTCTGTCATCCAAAAGTTGCAGTCCCTTGATTTAACAGAAGCATTTTTCTAAGCAATTCAGAGGAGTAATTACTAGA